TGACTTCATTTTGTGGATGATCAGCTCTGCCTACCATACTCCTTGCACGAGCACTGCCAGGCTCTGCAGCTTCCAGGGGTTTCTGCTAGCCTTTCTGGGTCAGATGGGGCTAATCAGAGTCACACTCAGCAGAGGGCTGGGCTCTGATTCAGTTCCACTGCCTGGGTGGGTGCAGACCAGGATCCAGGGCTGGTGAGGCCGTTGATTTATAGGACCGAAAGCAGGCTGACCCGCTCCCTGCTGAGTTCCCTCATCAGACTGTGCCACATCCTTGGTGCTGCAGATGAGCAAAACCACTTGTTGGGACCACTGCTTGGGGGCTGCAGGGAGGAAATGGGTTGGCCAAAGTGCCAGTGCTGGTTGTTGGAAGCCTCTGCTTATTTTTCCGTCATCATCAAATTCACTGTGCTCAAGTCCTGCAGATTCGCCCACAGTACCTAGGATTCAAGACTAGAGTAGGAGCTCCCAAGAAGTAACCCATAATGTTGGGGGAGCTGGATGTCCAGCCTGGGTTCTGTTCCCCACGGAGGGACAAGAGGCTCAGGGAGGCTTTCTCGGTGTGGTGCTGTGCCGGCCTGGTGGTGCGGCAACAGAGTCCCATACTTCGCTGCTCCTCCTGCCCTTCCCACGCAGTCGGTCCTAGTCTCTATGGCGGAGGGGTACATCAGCCTCGCTATCTTGTTCTGATCCTCTCAGTGGTATCTGTTCCATGAATAGTTGTTAATTGCTGTTCTGAGAGGAACGGGGAAGTTAGGAACGACCTACGCTGCTATCTTGGTGACCTCACCCTCTAAAATAACTTAGGACATTAAGAATGAGTCAGGAATGGTATCACAGCAGTGGTTCTCAAAGTGTGGCCCTTGGAGCAGGAGGACTCAAAATATTAAAATACATTTTGAAAGGTATGTGGTCAGTACCTTGCCTGAAGACTAGACAGTAAGGACATTTCTGGCTCTAATCCTAAAAATGATACTCAAATGTGAGCCTAGTTTCTGGATTGTTGCATTTGGGAGAATATTCAATTATCACAGATACATTCTCATACCCGTTGGGAAGCCCCAAGTAGCACTTGAAACTAAAAGGAAAAAATATGGAGTATGAAGTGTGTTTCTTAAACATAATATTGTAAAACTAAAAGTACACCAGGGCAGAGTCTCAAGGTATGAAGTTGAATTCGACCGTTTACAAGATTAGCTGTGTGCCCACTTAGTGAAGCAAATACACAGGATGCTTTGGAAGAGAAGGGTTTGGTAACACCCTCCATGTGACTCCCTTCTCTGTAACTCACTTGCTGGGATGATACTGACGGAACAGCTGATTCCGTTTCACTTCCATCACCTATAAAAATACGTTTCTACTGCACTACCTAACCAGCAGTGTGCATTTATCACGTAACTGTCAGTTCCTGGTTTTCTCTCAGCTTTAAATTACTTCACATGCGTTCACATTAAGGAGAATTTCAAAGCTATCCTTCATGTGTAAGTTTTTACACCTTCATATTGGCCTTTGGTCAATTTTGCTTCTCTTGCCCAAACTTCTCCTCCAGTTAATTCTGAAACAGATTATAAATTTAACAGGACCTTTCCTAGGTTCCAAATGGGTGTTTTTCTAGTCTTCTGCAAACAATATTGTTTTCCTTTGGCAAACAACCAAAACACCCACATGAACATTTCGTTGTGTTTTGTAAAGTACACCCTTGCCTACCAAATCAAAACAAAACTCTCCGCCCTGAGATCACAGGCTCAGAATAGCATATAACAAGGTTGTTTTGTTGTGTTGTGTTTTTAAAGAAGGTGTTTGTGGAGGTTAAGGGTAAATTAACCCCCTAGTCAAGAGATCTCAGGAATGCAGGCCATTAACTTCTTGCCCATCGACTCTATCTCCAGAATATCCTCTCCCCTTAATATTCTGAGTTCTCTGAACTTGAAATCAGCTTCCTAGTACATCTGAATGCTACCATTGAACTGGGAAGATGTGTTTTAAGTTGCTACCGTGTAAGAATTCTTGACAGCCAGTAGCTAGTTTAGACAAAGGAATGTAGGTCCTCCTAATAAAACGTTAATATGACTTAGCATTTAAAAAAAATCACTATACACCTTAGGGCAATAAATTGAGGTATTATTTATTTGACATATTTACATACTTACAAAATTGTTTTTATCCAATATGTCATCCTGCATAGTATCTGAAGAATGAACATCATATTCTGGGAGTAAAAAAATCCAAGTTTTTAAATAATTTATACATAACCCAACATCTCTTGGGTCACAAAATACCAATTTGGCTTCAGAGAACACATATACCGGTTTCGGGTTTTTTGTAGTTGAGGAACAAAGTAAATTCAACAACATATTAAAGTAATTTAGCTGACCCTGAGTATATCACGAATTTGCATAATTTTTGAATACATGCATATAATACTTTCTTAAACTTAGAATTGCACTACCATTTGGCTGTATATTCAGTCATCTCGATTTTCTACCTCATTAATCCTTGAGATAAAAAGGAACAGAGAATGGAGAAGTAGTAAAGAGACCAGGAGGGGAAAACTACAGAGACTACCTGAAGCTTTCCAACTGCACGAGTCCGTGGCAAAGCTCTGGGTCCAGGGTTACGTGACAAGCTTATTAAGAGGAGGGTCTTGAACTGAACCATCTGAGAACCTTCTGTCAACTGAGGTTACATGACTCTTCCTGCATTTTTCCTGTCATCTTTGACACTACTTAATTAAAAGTGTACAAGCTGAGAGAATTCAGTTAAGTAATTACTTGAGCACTTCAGAAGAAAAACGTATTGTGGCCAGAAGTAAAGAGCCGTGTTAAAGTCTGGTTTTCCTGAGAAGCTTGAGGGACAAAAAAGCAAAGACCCCTGGGCTGACGGATGACCTGAGTTATCTTATGCCAGCACAAGGAAACCCTGCCTGCCTGCCGCTGCCAGGGCGTGAACAAGATCACGCGTTACTCTTCTCGCCCCGAGTACAACAAAGAAAGCTAACAATGAAAAAACAAGCCTGAGGTTGGGAATACAGCATGTGTGCAGGCAGTCACGCTCAGATGCCTTTCAATGGCCGAGAAAGGAATCCAGAGGCCGGAACCAGATCACATGTGCCCTTCCCAGATCCAGAGAACGGAAGGCTCAGCAAATTGGCAGGAGCCGGGAGATCACTTGGCTTCCTTCACCCAAGTGGCAGAAGAAGTGAATAACTGGAGAAAGGTGGGAAAACTGTCATCTGAGGGAGGTCCGTTGTTGTGTCCTTAAAAACATAAAATATTTGCGACTTGCTAAAATAAAACAGACATTCCTTAGGATCTATAAAATTCGCTATATCAGGAGGGAAAGCGGCAGAAATATGGTAGGGGCACCCTTCATCCCTAACTGTGTTTTCTCCTCAGGCCAATGCCGCAATAAAATACTGTTAGCTAAGAGTACCTTTTTAAAAATAAAGGAGAAAAGTACATGGTAGAGAAAAGCTCTTCTTTATTAACGAGATGGAGGAAACATAGATAGACTGTTCCACAAATAGCAATAAAAGAGGAGAGAAAAGTATTCATCCCTATTATGCCACAGCAGCTGGTTACAAGTCTTTTCTCTCTCTCATTACTTTTAATGACAAACAAGTCTGAATTTCACCAAACCACAGTTATGAAATTAATGCTTCTCATCCTCAGGTAAAAAATAGCACGGATCAATTAAGTACTCAAAACAATACAAAGAAAACGGTACATGTAATGACAGTGCAGGGTAAGAGCTTTGATACCCTTTATAAGATTGTGCTAATTCTGGTCCATCTAAAGACTTGTATAGACGAGTAAATAAAAATTAAGTTACACTTAGGTAAGAAACTGTCTTCAAAAAAGTTATATGAACTTGCATATATAGAGTCCAAAAGTATAAGACAAAACTATTTAAATTTTGATTTATAGAAATTCAAAAACGGTAAAATATATTATTTGGGGGGAAAAAGAAGCTTTCACTAAATACAAACACAATGAAGTAGATAAACCAGAATGAGTATTAAATAGTTTCGCTGAAAACTTCCATAAAGAGTAAAGGCAGAATGGCACCAGGTTAGAAAAGCAGTGTTTAAGGCAAACTAAATATTAAGTAACCTTAATTAAAATAAGAGGCGTACAATCCCATAAATAACAAAGCAATTCCTCTGAACACTTTCTCTACAACGGCTGAGAAAACACGAGTAGAAAGAGAAATAATGGCCAACATCAGAGTTTACTTGGAAATACTGAATAGTATTACATGAAAATAACCCAAATGTTTCTGATGTAAAATACACTTGAATCATGTGCCGCTTAGTTGTCCCACAGCCACGGCAAACAAAACCCATCACGCCAACGTTTGAGTGTAAATCTGTGAAATGCCAAAACTTACTTTGAAAAAAATCTTTCCTTTTTTAGACTATGTATGTGTGTACATGATAACACCAATAAAATTATCAATTTCATTATTTTGGCCCATGTAAAAAATATGCACAGAAATGCAAACCATCTCCCTGCAAGAAGGTGTCTGAGGGTCAACTATGAGCACAGGGCTCAGTGTCTGACCTGAGATCACCTGCACACACAAGAAGCATCAAAAACTAAGAAGGAAGAGATTAATCTTGAAATAGAAGAAACAATGACACGTTCTTTAATGAGTTAAGTCTTCTTAACGAAAAAAATCAAGTACATATCATTAAGTTAAATGTAGCAGGCACATGAATTTGCACCTTATAAATTTGGTATATCAAAGTATCTTATAAAAATATTTATAGATTTTCTTTTTTAAGAACTGTGGTACACGAAATGACACGATCAAAGAAAGGATCTGTTTCTTTTCATCTACTGGAATGACCCTGTGCCTTTCTAAAAAAGAACAACCGCAGCGCACAGGCAAACTATCAAGACGGCTGCGTTCACTGAAGCTGTCCACTTAGGGGAGGTACAAGGTCTAAATACCGCCAGGCCCCAAGCGAAGGAGTCTCCGTGCCCGGGGCGAGCGTTCCCTCACACGGTCCTGGGGGGCAGGCGCTGTCTATACATGCCGGCAAGGGCTTTGGCCGCACTGTAGATCATCTGTCGCCGAGACATGCCGGTGAACGTCCTGTGCCAGTCAGTCCGGGTGACATTGACTAAGCTCTTTTCCAGAACTTCACCCACCGTCACCAAAAGGCCTGACCACCTCAGATGGTAGTCTTGGGGAGTGAGACTTTGAGCCTATGGAAAAAGGAAATTTATCAATTTATAATACATTTTAAAAACAACTGGACCTAGCTCTGACATTCCAAAGTCTCTCAGATTACTTTTACTACAGATGAGGACAAACCCGGAGAAGCTATGCGAGCAGCTACAGGAAGGGACCAGGCTACAGAAGAACCTAGAACAATGCTGCACACACCTCCTGTGTTTACTGTCCACAGTAAGCTCATTCTCTTGCTCACATGTCATGTCAGCCCTAATCGAACGACTCCCTCTAACAGAGCTCAGTGTCCAAGGGTTGAGGTCTCAGTGCCAGTGTGTTGTTCCAGGTTAACAAGCTGGGTGGTGAGAGAGCGCACCTTCCCGTCCTTTTCCACAGTCCCTCGCTCATCAGTGTGCTCTTCGGAACCTTCCCACCATGTCAAATTTTCATTTACACGTTTCACTTATAAAGTGTCTAGTCTGGGGCATGTCTGAGGATCTAACATTTTATCAGCAGGTCTGATTTTTGCTTTGTCACTACACACATACCCTTCTCATCCCGATTTGCTAACAAGTTATCGCTGTGGTGATTTGTAGCAAATACATGTCAGTTCTGTAGAAATACTTTTTTCTTCTTCAATAGGTTTTGAACTGTGTGAGTTGATGAGCTGTTGCTTGAACCATCAGGCCGTTTCTGGCATAAACCTATCGTGGCTAGGCTACAATATCGGTGATACCAGGACTTACAATAAAAAATATACTTACACATGACCACTGAACAATGCAGGGGTTAGGGACAGTGACCACCTGGTATAGTTGAAAACCCACATATAACTTGTGATTCCCCAAAAACTTCACTACTAAATAGCCTACTGTTGAGAAGAAGCCTTTGTAATAAGAGTCAATTAAGACCCACTTTGTACATTATATATGTACACCATATGCTTACAATAAGGTAAGCTACAGAAAAAAATGTTAAGAAAATCATAGAGAAAATAAGTACTGTACTGTAGAAAGTCTGCGTGTAAGTGACCTGTGCAGTTCAAACCCATGGTGTTCACGGGTCAACTGTGCTTGGTCATCCCATCCCCTCCCAACTCAGGGGAGGGAGGGAGGCTGCAAGGTGACCAAGTAACCACGGGCCAGATGTACCAATCATGCTTATCGAATGAACTCCATAAAAACCCAGAAGGATGGGGCTGGGAGAGCTTCCAGACTGGCGAACATGTGGAGATCGAGGGAGAGGGCGGGCTGGGAGAGGGCATGGAAGCGCTGCACCCTCTCCCAGTACCTTGTCCTCTGCCTCTCATCCATCTGTTTCTGACTTGTATCCTTTTGTAACAGGCAAGCCATCTAGTGAGTCACCAGGCTTTCTGAGAAGGAAGGTGTTATGAGAACCAACGTGCGGCAGTGGGGCCAGAAGCAGAGGTGATAACCTGGACTTGGCCCTGGTGTGTGAGGTTGGGGAGGGGCTGTCTTGTGGGACCGAGTCCTTACCCTATAGGATCTGACACTATCTCCAGGAAGACAGTGTCAGAGTGGAGCTGCAGTGTATGATACCAGCTGGTATCCTAGAATTGCTGGGTGGTGTGGAAAAATCCCTCCCACACACTAGAAATGGGTAGGAGACCTAGTTAGTAGGTGTCAGAAGGGGTAGCTGGCTTCCACAGCCATGGCTCATGGAAACACGTAGCTTGCCAAGAACAAAGATGAAAAATGAGGGAGGAAGACTGTCTGGTTGCGGGGCGGCCACCACTTGCATGGAACAGCATCTGGGATGTACTCGGTTACTAAAAGGTCAAGTTACCAGTGAAAATTAGAGATGGATCCAACTCCTGGGAAGCTGATTTCTTGGAAACCCAAAGAAATGCAAACTATTAACAAAAAGGCACAATAGTCCCTTGGTGGTTGTTCTCTACCACAGCTACACTCTAAAAGAAAATGGTGAGTCCAGCCTTGATGCTGGGCCCAACTCGACTTGTCTGGCTTGGCTTATGCCACTAGCCTCAAGGCCACCCTCTCCAAGGTACAAGTTATGCCCGGACAACACAAAGAACCTCTCAGACCTCTGGTCACTAAGAAGGTGGTCAATGGAGAGGGAAGACCTATCCCTTGTCCCTCTTGCTGGAAACACAAAGACCTGTGCACACAAGCAGAGACAGTGGCCAAGAGTAGAGAAGAGAGGTTTCAAGTCCCTCGAGCTGCACTACCAGGCCTACTGGTGAAGCTGTGATGAGAGCTACAATTAGAAAGTGAAAATGGAAGGGTTGATTGGGTTATGGAAGCTGAATTGTTTCAGCAAGTTTTATGTGAAGGTGTCTCCTTGACTTGGATTTTATGTGCAAATGGTGATCATGTCTGTTCGGGGAATAGGTGCCCTGCCTATTATTGTAAAACCATATCCTGTGGATGAGCTCCAAATAGAGTCTAGCATTAGGGGGATAAAAGTACAGATCGAAGTACCAATGTGTAAGGAAACCGTTAGGTTTGAACAAGCTTTATGTGAAGTTTTTTTTTTTTTTATCTGATTGCATTTTGGGCATGGACACTGTAATCACTGTGGAAAGCTTCCCCAGCCTAGTGAAGGGCTGTAAATTCACCCTTCAAGTATCATTTATTGGCCATGCTATACAGTAACCAGTAGGACTGGTTGAGCCCACACTGTGAGGCAGAAGCTGTGAGCTGGCAGTGACAAACTCTGTGCCAGTCCGATGTGGAGCTTAGACTGAGGCTTACGGCAGAAATCTGAGTGCCATCCAGCGACATTTCCTGGGACTCCGGAGTAGCATGTTTCCATCTGAGGGGCATTTACTACCTTGCTACCAGACTTTTAGTTAAAGCCACCCCGTTCACTGAAGGACATAAAATGATTTTGAAATGTGAAATACGCATAACGTCTAGGATGATATTGCAGAATCCCTTAATAGGACGGCAGTGCCCAGGAAAAGTTCCTAATATGGAAATGGTTTACATACAGGATCATGATGCCTAGGGAGACAGTCATGACCAGGGCCCCTCTTTTCCTCTAGGACTCACTTTGGAGCCATGGGAAAAGCTGTGAGAACCAACTGCCATGTAGACCGTGCCCTATGAACAACTCTCAACTGAAGAGCAAAGAGCTAGCTGCTTGGTCCGTGGATGGCAGTTCCACAGGTGAGGGGACAGTCTATCTGGAAGGCCATCACTTGGACAGAAGAAGGTAAAAATGAATCAGCTCCATGGGCTAAAATGCACACTATTTTCTCAGCATGATTGGGGGTTTTACCAGTGGTTTTTTTTTTTCCTGTTTCAGTTTTTACTGACTCAGGGCAGTGGCCAATGGTCTGACCATATGGTCGGGCAGGAAGGCACACTGGATATGTTACCTATTAAAAGGTTGCCCATGTGGGGCACAGCCCTGTGGAAATGAATCTGAGGGGTGCAATGAAGCAGGACAGGATCCCATCAGAACTTCTTCCAGGTTTGGAAGGTGAGTGGAATGGACAAACAGATACCCCTGCTTTAGACGGCTACCTGGGTCTACAAAATGAGTGGATAACTACAGAGGTAGGCTGAATCTAGACAGAGTCCTCTTGCATTCTCTGAGACAAAAAAATGCCAATATGAACTGTCTCCCAACCGGCGACAGAAAGCATGCAAATGGTTATGCAGCACGTTCCCTGCTGGGAAGACCATAAACACAGACGACAAAGGAGACTGATGGTGACAGTTCTGGGGGCTACAGATGGGCCTTGGCAGGAACAGACGTTGACTTTGGATGGAGCTTTCCTTACTAAGGGGTAGGTGCAAATGTTCAGACAGCCTAACAGAACCTGAATAGAAGATACTGTGCCAATTTGGATGGCTGAGCGTTTCTCCAGAGCAAGGAACACACCTGACAGCCCGTGTCTAGCAATGGACACGATGGACAGAGATATCCTCCTTCGAGAACAAGTTTGGTCCAGAAGAGAAAGGGGCAACAGAAACACAGTTGTCTGAAAAGCTGCAGGTGTAGGCATTTAGGTGCCGGCTCACATGAGTGTTGGACTGAGCGTGAGTGGGATGAAAGAGATGAAAAGCTCTCTTTTCCTGTGGATGTGGGGCAGGGGGCAGACGAGGATGATGGTCTCACGCTGCAATTCTGGCCAAGGGAGGGTGACCCTGGTATAGTGACTTGTTCTTTCTTCCTTAGATCACTTCAACTTTTCATTCCCCTGTTCGATGTTGCAAACACAGACGTGGAAACAGGGATGACTCCTAAGCAAGAAACTCTAGGTATGGTTTCAAACCTGACATTACAAAGTTCCTAAGGGCCTACGGGGCAGGAGGTGCCTGCACTCTCTGTGGCAAAACTGGGTGACAGGGAGTGTGGCTACACGTACCAGTGGTGGAGACAGCCCACCATAGGGAGGCGTCATTTTGTTGCATCTCGCTTTACCGCGCGTTGCTGGTACTGCACTTTTTACAAATGGAAGGTGTGTGGCAACAGTAAGCAAGTGTATTGGTGCCACATTTCCAACAGCGTTTGTCACTCTGTCTCCTAAATAAGTAATTCTCACAATGTTTCCAACTTTTTCATTATTTGTTAGTGATCGATAATTACAACTTGCTCGATGCCCAAATGAATTTTTTTAGCAGTCATGTATTTTTTAATTGAGGTATAAACATCATATTGTTTTTTTAAATATAATGCTAATTTGGGATAGAGGCAAATAAGACGGGAAGTAATGGGAGGAATAATTCCAGAAAAATAATCACTAAGTAGAAAATTAAACTTGCCAGTTTTACAAGAGCTTTCTGAGAGAATAAATACTATTTTATCAACATGGGAAAAAAATAAATATAATGCTATTGTACGTTTAACAATATAGTGTAAACATAACCATCATCTGCACTGAGAAACCAAAAACACATTTCAGATGCGTTACTGTGACACCAGCTTTATCTCAGGTCTGGAAGCAAACCTGCAAGATCTCTGTACCTCTGTAACCTCACCTTGTCTGAATAAAAGTGGACTGAGTGGGGATGTACTTGCTAGACTACTACGTCTGCCTCCAAAGCATGCCAGCAGACGCAAGGGAAAAAGTTTCAGTATGAAAAGGAAAACAGGGTAAATAGTAGCTATGGGTAAAGGAACGAATTAATGGGTTATCCAATGAGGGAAACCAAACATTATGCTAACACCTCAAAAGGCCAGGGCAAGAGCTAACACTGGCTCTGAGCTCCATTATACCGGAGGCCTGGAAGGGTAAGGCCACCACACCCGGTTTAGGAAGCCAACAGAAGACTACAAACCTGAGTGACCTCTCCCTGTGGACATTTTGACAGGACGTGATGACACACTAGATAGTTAATTATTACTGAATGGGATTCTAGTAATGTGCAAGTTGTCTTAAACCTTCGTGGTGGTTTTGCTATAAGGAATTTGTGTTTGAAGACCAGGCGGTGGACATGTAATACTGTGGTTTATAGTAAGAAATACATATTGGATCTTGGACCCCAGTTTTTGGCACAGTGCTCGTACCATCCTTGTAGTTTCTTAAGGACTGAGAACCACAAAGATATCTTTCGTTAATCAGGTTGAAAGCCCGAACCTATGGGCTTGGTAACATGCCTCCATAACATACTCGCCATAAAAACCCACAAGGATGGGGTTGGGAGAGCTTCTGAGTCAACATGACAAATCTGGAAAAGTGGAGGGTCCAGCCAGCATGGAACCTCTGTCCCCCTGCCCCATGCAGTTCTTCCATCTAGTCATTCTGGAGTCAGATCCTTTTATAATAAATCCATAATGGAGAAAAAGTGGGTTTCCTGAGTTCCAGGAACTTGTTAGAAAAGATGAACTAAAAAGGAAGATCAAGACAAAAGATAGGAATAATTAAGGGAACCAAAATGGTAGATAACGAAAAGTGGATATAAAACCAGAACTGGTAAATCGTTTTTCTGTTGTTAGTAGCACAGCACAATCATAAAAACAAAAGAGGAAATTAATGATTAAGGTTGCCAAGTATTATCTTTTCAAAGACAGCTGGAAAACGAGGAAGGTACTCAACCTGAAAGAAATTGGAAAGCAAAGAGAAAAAGCTGAAAGGGGAAAGAATTAAGAAGCAAAATCAAAAATGTATATCCAGTGAAAAATCTAACAAAAGCTTTTATTGTTAAAACAGTATTTCAAGTTTCTGTGGAGTATAATGAAAAAGGAGAAAACCAACCTGTTGTACAAATTCCAAAGGCACTGGTGTGGCCTGGGTAAACGTTTCAAGGTGAATGCCATGGGCAGGATCTTCAACTATCAAACAGCCAATGTCAAACCACCTACAACGGGATGGATGAGGATTAAGTTGTTGATGTGCCATTAAAAAAAAAAAGTTACAGTGAATAGAAAAAACTAACCCAAAAACTATTATCGTTCAAACAGGAAATGTTTTTCTAATCAATTTTCAAGAAAACAATCCATAAGAATAATATATAAAATTACCTATTAGCTTAATTCCAAGAGGAGGGAGGACACTTGGTAAAATATGAGAAATTTTACATTACCATCTCCATCGTTAATACGTAGCTGATTTGCAAAGTTAATAGCAGATTAAGCTCATTCAGAGGAAATAAATCTTCTCATTTTTGATAATCAGTCTTGAAAAACACTTCAAGAAAACTTTCTTCTATTTAAAGTTACTCATAAATTATAAAAATACATTTTATAATTGCCTTAAGTCATCTGTAACACTACCAGCATTTTAGATAACTAGAATTATGCAACCACCAGATGCCACGAAATCATAAGCCTGAATAACAAGAGGATATATAGAGCAAAAAAAGTTCACTATTTTTAAAAATATGTAGATCTAATAAAGTGTGATGGAAGAGAAAATGAATTAGGTAACTTCTATTTACATATTTAAAGAAACAGCAAAGTAAAATATAGAATAAGTTTTGCTGAGGATTAAAATGATCAGGCATTACATTCTTAGTATTCATATCCTAAAATCTGGTTTCAAAATAACATTAAATGACACTCTTTATTTGGAATACTCATCAGTAACTTGTGTATAACTGTAGTGACTGTTAGGCAAGCACTTGCTGAAAATGAGACTCACTCAAGGTAAAAGTCCCTTGGTGATGCTGGTGAAGACGCATTTGAAGAACTACAAGGTCCTCTTTGTTATCTAAAATTCCATCAGGCTCTTGAGCATGTCAACAGGGATGTGGCTAAAACTGCAACCAAGATCACGCCCTTGGAAACCTCCTGCATTTCTTTCAAGAGTGCTATTGGCCAGGGAAACTTGGGGTCTTCCTCCTCTCCCAAATACTATCCTTCAAGAACTCCAAGGGCACTCCCCACCCCACGTTCATGGACAATCACCGAGGATTCTTCTCCAGGTAGCTGCTAAAATAACCAATCTCATGTGGCTGCCATTTTGACTAAAAAAGAGCTCAAGAATTGTGATTCCAAGATACTTGAATACTTTTTACCAGCAAAAATCTCAAAACAGGACGTGGGAACCGCCACTCTATTTTACAAAGACAGACCACCTACCACCACCAGTCAATTCACACACAAAAAAAGACATTTTAACACAAAACCCAAGATTTCTGAACTTGACAGGTTAATCTCTGAATAAGGATAGTCCATGCTTACACGGGCTTTTGTCCAGGCATGGTACAGACCATGTTAGTTTTCCTCACATAACATGAACTGATATAAAATTCATCAGAGAAGTATGTCTGTACTGGCTCTACTCTTGGTTTTTAGGCGTCAACACATTTTTTCGACTGACTGGCTCTTCCTGGATGGGTATCTTCCTAATTGTAACCGTGTTTTTGACTTTATCTTCCCGGCATTTATTTCCTACAGGACCAGGACCACAGCAGAGAGAAAGCAGGAACTGTCAAGCGGTTTGATCCTAGGTTTGCTATTTGCTCTGTATGTTCTCCCTCTCGGCTCGTCTGCACTTTCCTATCACAGCCTTTCCGTCCCCTCCTCTTTAATCCACACTAGAAACCAACAGATTTCCTAATACTACAGTATCCCCTTGAACAACGTGGACATTTAGGTTGCCATGACCCCCTAGTGCCGTCCAAAATCTAACTTCTGACTCTCCAAACACATATAAAAGCCTACTGTTGACCAAAAGCCTTACCAATAACAGTCTATTAAAACATGCTTTGCATGTTTTATAGGCATCATCTACCATATTCTTGCAATAAAGTGAGCTAGAAAAAGTAAAATCATTAAGAAGAGGGGCACCGGGGTGGCTCAGTTACATGTCTGACTTCAGCTCAGGTCATGACATCACAGTGCACAAGCCTCATATTCCGATCCTCTGTCGCCCTCTCTATGCCCCTCCCCTGCTTGTGCTCTCTCTCTCAAAACTAAACACTTAAAAAATCATTAGGAAGAAAAAAAGGCATTTATAGTACTGCATTCTATCAGAGAAAAGCTGTGTAAGTGGATCTGTGCAGTTCCAATCTATGCTTTTCACGAGTCAACTGTTTTTTTTTTTTTCAACGTTTATTTTGGGGACAGAGCATGAACGGGGGAGGGGCAGAGAGAGAGGGAGACACAGAATCGGAAACAGGCTCCGAGCCATCAGCCCAGAGCCCGACGCGGGGCTCGAACTCACGGACCGCGAGATCGTGACCTGGCTGAAGTCGGACGCTTAACCGACTGCGCCACCCAGGCGCCCCAAGTCAACTGTTTTCCTATCCCTAATCTTCCTAAACGCCACTGTACTGGTTAAAAGGTAATTGGTAGGAAAAATGCCACAGCTAGCTACAATGGGGCAGTTTATGGCAGACCAATGCTCCCAATGAAAAGGTGGACGAGGTATGTAAACCCTATATGTAACCAAATTCAAGAGCTGTAAAAGCCAGGAGGGCAAAATGGAGTAACGCTCTGGATGGGGAAAACCTTCAAAGTGAGGTGAAGACTTTCAGTTGGACCTAAGTACCACCTAACCTTAATTCAGCAACTCGACTAGAAGTGAAGGAAGCTCATTCATTAAGTCCATAGCATCTCCCAAGCAGTGGGGAAATTGTTAGACTTTTCTCTGGGGTGGGAGGTGCTCAGGACCTGTGACAATGCAGACAAGCTGGCATGCCACCTCAGTGAGCCCTGGCCCCTAGGACACACACACCAGCTCAAGCCATTTTGTGAAGGTGATGCCAGCATGGTATGCCCTGGGAACCTCCCAAGACTCCAAACACACATCTACACAAAGCCACGCCTTCAAGACTGAGAAAGGTAGGTGTTTTTGCCTAAATCACAAACTCCTATGCTTCAAACAAGAAAAAACTTAGAGCTACACAATCTAACGGATAAAGAGTTCAAAGTAATGGTCACAAAAATGCTCACTGGACTGGAGTGCGTAAACTCAAAACATAAAAAAGAACTAACCAGAGTTAAATACAATAACTGAAATGTCAGACTAGAAAGAAGAACAGATCTGTGATCTGGAAGAGAGGGTATCATAAAGCAAAGAGGCTGAAAAGCAGAAAGAAAAAAAAATGAAGATACATAAAAGTGATCTCTGGAATAATACTAAGCATACTAACACTAGCAGGGTAGGGGTCCCAGAAGAGAGAGAAAGGAGCAAATCCTTCCCTGACCTGGGGAAAGAAATAAATACCCAGGTCAAAGAATCACAGCCCAAAGTAAGATGAACCCAAGGAGGTCCACATAAAAAACATAAATAAGATGTCAAAAAATAAGACCGAAAATCCTGAAGACATCAAGAGGTAAAAAACCAGTTATATACAAGGGAAACCTCATAAAGCTCTCGGATTTCTCCACACAAACTTTGCAGAAAAGAAGGAAGGGGCATTATAATCACAGTGGAGGAAAAAAAAAAGCCTACAGTCATGACTATTCTACCGGGCAAGGGTAAGTAGTTCATTACCACTAACCCAGGCTTGTAAGAAATGTCACAGACATGGGGCGCCTGGGTGGCGCAGTCGGTTAAGCGTCCGACTTCAGCCAGGTCACGATCTCGCGGTCCGTGAGTTCGAGCCCCGCGTCGGGCTCTGGGCTGATGGCTCGGAGCCTGGAGCCTGTTTCCGATTCTGTGTCTCCCTCTCTCTCTGCCCCTCCCCCGTTCATGCTCTGTCTCTCTCTGTCCCAAAAATAAAAAAAAAAAAAGTTGAAAAAAGAAATGTCACAGACTTGGGGCGCCTGGGTGGCTCAGTCGGTTAAGGGTCCGACTTCACCTCAGGTCATGATCGCACAGTCCGTGAGCTCGAGCCCCGCGTCGGGCTCTGTGCTGACAGCTCGGAGCCTGCTTCAGATTCTGTGTCTCCCTCTCTCTGACCCTCCCCCATTCATGCTCTGTCTCTCTCTGTCTCAAAAATAAATAAACATTTAAAAAAAATTAAAAAAAAAAAAAAAAGAAATGTCACAGACTTTTCTAAGAAGCAAAGGCCACAGAGATAACACTATAAAGGAAAAAAATTTACGGGTAAAAGCAAACACACAGCAAAGGGAGTAGATCAATCACTTATACAACTGCAAAGGTTAAAAGGCAAAAGTAGTAAAACCATATTTACATTAATTAAGGGATTCACGGTAAGATGTAAAATACGACATACAGAAAGGGTGGAGGGATGAGTAAAAATGGAGTTTTTGATTGGCATAAGTTAAGAGACCGTTAACAGACTGCTATATAGGTAAGGTGTTATATAGAAACCTTATGGTAACTACAAACCCAAAACCTCTAATAGATAAAAAAAATAAGGCTACGTATAACACAACAGAAAGTCATCGGTCATAATGAAAGAACGACACAACTACAAAACAATAAAATGTCTAAATGCTCCAATCAAAAGACATAGGGTGACTACATAAAAAAACAAGATGCATTTATATGTGGCCTAAAGGAGACTCACGTCATACCTAAAGACACATATAGACTTTTAAGTCTCTATGTCTTTTTTTTTTTTTTTTTTTAATTTTTTTTTTCAACGTTTTTTATTTATTTTTGGGACAGAGAGAGACAGAGCATGAACGGGGGAGGGGCAGAGAGAGAGGGAGACACAGCATCGGAAACAGGCTCCAGGCTCCGAGCCATCAGCCCAGAGCCTGACGCAGGGCTCGAACTCACGGACCGCGAGATCGTGACCTGGCTGAAGTCGGACGCTTAACCGACTGCGCCACCGAGGCGCCCCTCTATGTCTTTTTTAAATAAAAAAAAATTCCACGCAAATGGACGTGAAAGAAACCAAAAAAAACTGGGGGAACAATACTTAAACCAGACAGACTTTAAAACAGACGGTAATGAGAAACAAAGAAGGGCAAAGAAACTGTATTTCAAACAATATATATTACCAAGCTATACTCATCAAAACAGTATGGTATTGGCATAAAAACAGACACACATCAATGCAACAAAATAGCTGACAAACCTACACACCTGGTCAATTAAAATTAATTTACGACAAAAGACCCAAGAATATACAATGGGGAAAGGAGAGTCTATAGGATAAATGGCGCTGGGGAAACTAGACTACTGACACCATACACAAAAACTCAAATGGATTTAAGACTCGAACTTAAGACCTAAAGCCATAAAACTCCTAGAAAACAAGAGGGAGTAAAGTGCTTGCTATCAGTCTTGGTGGTGATTTTTTAGATTGGACACCAAAAGCAATGGCAACAAAACCAAAAATGATTCAGTGGGACTGTATCAAACTAAAAAGGTTCTACAGAGCAAAGGAAACCATCAACGAAATGAAAAGGCAACCTACTGAATGGGAAAAATCATTTACAAATCCTTTATCTCGGAAGGTATTAACATACAAATATATTAAAAACTTCAAGAGCACAAAAACCAAATGATTAAAAAATGGGCAGAGGCTCTAAATAGTTTTCCAAAGACAATACAGATGGCCAACATGTACATGAAAAGGTGCTCAAAACCACAATGAGATCTCACCTTACATCTATCGGTATGGCTATAACCACAAGTCAAAAAAATAAGTGTTGGCAGAGATGTAGAGAAAAATCCCTTGATGAGAATGTAAACTGGTACAGCAGTATGAAAACAAGATGGAGGTTCCTCAAAAAATTCAAGCATATGATCCGTCAATTCCGAGTATTTATCTGACGGAAATGAAAACTAACTTGAAGAGATAGATGCACCCCTCACCAATGTTCACTGCAACAGCATTTACAATTACCAAAACATGGAAGCAACCTAAGCACGTCAGTGGAAGAATGAAGAAATTGTGGTATACACACACACACAAACACACTATTCAGCCATGAACAAAGAAGGAGAGTCTAAAGGAAATAAGTCAGAGAAAACAAATACTGCATGATCTCACTTATATATGGAATAAAAAAAAAACTCACAAAGAATAGACTGATGGTTAGCAGTGGGGGGGGTGGTTAAAATGGGTGAAGGAGGTTAACAGGTATCAACTTTCAGTCATGAAATAAGTCAGGATAAAATATATAGCACGGTGACTATAGTTAATACTGTACTGTGTATCTGAAAAATGCTAAGAGTAGATTGCGAAAGTTCTCATTACAAGAAAAAAAAATTTTTAATTATGTTAAAAGAAGCCTCTTACTTGTCAGGTAGCAATTCTGCGATGAAGTTTTCTACTGACACAGCAATCTGTTTTTCATGGATCACTCCAGTTCGACGCAAACTATCTATCCGTTCCTGGGCACCCTGAATGACAACGGCACAGGTTAGAAGCCATTTCAAGTTACTCAGTATTCTATATACTAATTCATGGTTACATAAGTAATATATACATCTACACCAAACACACCTATATACCCACTGCATATATCCAAAGAATACAGAAGTATAAACAGTACACGAGTCCAATCATGTTCTCCTCCATATTAACATTTACAGAGCACTTTCCATATACACTATTACTTTGGTTGTTACTATAAAATGGATTATTTTTACAGTAATGTTCTAATTGGTACTAATTGTACTAATATGAAACTGTGTGCTACTTCTTAATGTTGATCTGTCAAGAGGATATCTTACTGATAAATCTTTTTTTAGTCCTAGTAGTTTTTATTCAATTTGCTCTTGAGTTACCTAGGTAGGCAATCCTATCAACAGTAAATGTTTTTCCCTCTTTGTTCTTATTTCCTTTAAATATAGCCTTAAAATAAGCACCAAAATGACGGTTGATGTATTTTTAACTGCAAATGGATATACTGCACCAAGATTTATTCAGGAAAATGCCATTTATGCAACAAAACTGAGGGGCTGACAATGCTACATAACTCAATATCATCAATACATATCTTACGATACAAAACTACAAGTTTACAATAAGGTTGCTGTTTACCTACTTTCATCTTAATTACTTCATAAACAGTGATAAGGGAAGTGACAGGAAATGTCTAAAAAGTTAGACAAATGTGTTCTAATTTTTAATAAAACTTGCCATGGAGAATACATTAACCTATTTTTACTATGGGTAACAGAGCTAAGTAGTGATTAAGAAAAAGTGGTCAATGCTTATCAAATGAAAGTTTAAAAGCAAGAGCACTTCTAGAGACAACTGAACTGATTTTAGAGACAACAGAAATAAAGTGATAACTGCAAGAAAATGGGTAAATCAATTTAAGACATTAGCTTATAAAGATGGATGAAAGAATGAACGAAACTGTAATAGTATCAAGACTGTATTTTTGCTTACTCTTATCTCTCCAGTACCTCACATAGTGTCGAACGACATGAAAAAATAAAGGAAGAAGGGTTTCTTAAAAAATTTTATCACTCATGTTAATCTTAATAGTGTAAATTTTCTAGTAACAGTGAATGAGGAGGCACCTATTGGATATGAAAGAAAACCTAAGAGATGTTATACTGGAAAATGTAAATTTGCCCCAGTTATTCCTCCCAAGAGGAAGTTAGTTATGGTTAAATTCTGATTATGAATAAGTTTAAATAAATGTTATTTTACTGTTAACTCAGTAAAAACTATTAGGAGATTCAGCCCTCTTTGAAGAAGGTATCTCAGCTATGCACAACAAAATATTCCTAGATTTAACGCTTTCAGGAAAATAAACTTGTTCATTTTTTTACTATCCTACCACATAGGGGTTTGTATTTCACAAGGAACACAAAGAGAGGGTTATATGTGCCTCTCTTCTCCCCTGACGTTAAGTATGGCATCTTCTGGAGTCACAAAGACACTTTAAGCAGAGCCCCCATCCATGTTTTGAGAACACATTTTAACTTCATTTTCAGAAGTGTAAGGAATCAAGAATTAGGTACTTTTGAGGCCACAATGAAGTAATGATCTCAAATGGAAGCAATCCACAAAAAGGCCACCAGAGCTTACTGTGTACTCTTAAGAGCTTCTACTAAGCAATTTGGTTTAATCAAAATTCCATACTTCTAAAATGCATGTGGATTTTTATCTGTATCTGTTGAACAGAAGTTATAAAACAGTGGTCATAACTATCATTGGCTTTTCCATACAATTAATGGTTGGCATACATGCTTCAGAAGCTTCCTCATTTTAATTACGGCAGGTTTATTTCCTGAAACACTCTCGTGTGCTTAAAGGAAAACTTGGATTTAGCTGAGAAAAGTCATTTAATTAAAATCTGATGGAGAGTAAAAAATCTGTGTTGAAATTTTAAATTCTAGGATTCTACATTACTTTTCTTCTCATTAGCTCCCTCTGCTGTTTGTGGGGAAAAAATAGTTGATAAATTTATGAAGGATTTTCCTATGTATCAGTTTCTGTGAATTTTGATTTTAAGCTTCTTATTAATTATTATGGAAAAGAAATCTGTATGTCTGAAGGGAAAAAAAACAATAATAAAAATGAATCTGTCAAACACTAGAAAAATCACAACATACTGAGCTATTATCTATTAATATTATCTAAAAGATGAAGCTTTTCTTGCAGAAAAAAATTTCCATAAGCCTTTCAAAAACAGCACCTAATGATTTTAAGTATCTTCTTTTGAGACAGAGCGAGCACGAACAGGGGAGGGACAGAGACAGAACCCCACGCAGCTCTACACTGTTAGCACAGAGCCTGATGCAGGGCTTGAACTCTCATGAGAGAACCAGGAAATCATGACCTGAGCCGAAAACAAAAGTTGGCTGCTTAACTGATGAAACCACCCAGGCACCCCAATTTTAAATCTCTTCTGTGTAATAATATTTGACATAACAAAATATTTCAGACCCATGTTTTAAAAACCATGAAATTTTGAGTTATAGTCCAAATATCACAAGGTGATTTATCTTCAAAAATTATTAATGACCTATCGAGCTGAGAACTCTGTCGGTCCTTTTTCAGTATTGATGAGAACAAACAAGATTTTACTTCATCATTATGTCATTTGTAGTCCCAACACTGAACACAGTAATTTGAACCGTCCCTTCAAATGACACTCCAGAGCATTTTATGTTCTGGGGCAATGTACCATATGAACATTTAGTGGGGAGGAGGTAGGTCTCATTTCCCAAAGGGAAAGAACAGAGCCTCTCAAAGGCTGAAGCTGAATTCCTTAAAGCTCTTGGGCTCTCCTGAGACCCTGCAAAATGTTTGTGTCTCCACAGAGGTACTTCTAGACCAGTCTTAAGACCACTGTGTGACTGTGGAGGTACAATCAAGGGATAGTGATGGGTGGGGGGCAGCTAGAGTGCTCTTAAGTGAGCTTAAAAAATGTCTACTCTTCTCATGAAACCGATAGGACGTTAAACCAAAACTGAAAGCAGATCCCACAATGAAAATGTCTTGTGTATCAGAATGCTTACTTGAGAAAATTAATAATTTTAAAAAACATACCCTAGAATTTTTAGTTCTGATGTTTGCAGTTCAGACATCTTGATAAAACTGTTAGATACTCACTTTGAAAAGCACCAAGCACTTTAAGAGTTCACATCTCTGAACCAAACCAAAATTCCTACTCCTGAGGAACTTAATTCTTGTGGGGACACATTCCGAAACACGAATACAAAACAAAATGACACAGTGTATCAGAAGGTGCTGAGAACCACAGAAATAAAATGCAGGACAAAACAAGGCAGTCAGGACAAGCCTTGCCGTGCAGGCAAGATGTGCGTGAAGACTTAAAGGTTTAAAGAGCCTGCCAAGCACATATTGGAGGGAAGAACGTCCCAGAAAGAGGAAAGACCTAGTGAAAAGGCCCTACAAAGACAAGCAGGCCAGGCAAGTATGAAGAGCAGCAAGGAAGCCACTGTGACTGGCATGAGTGAGTGAGGGGACGACCAGGAGTTGTAGCACCGAGAGAAGAAACAAAAGGCCACGTCAGCCAAACTGTGAGGGGCCGTGGAAGCCACTTAAGGAACGTGGGCTTACGATGAGTGAAATATAAAGTGCTGAAAAAGAGAGTGATGTGCTCTGATGTATGATATGAAAGGATTATCTGGCCACTCTGCTGAGAATGACCTAGAGGACTACAAGGTCATTACCCTGTCAGGGTAACCGTAACAGCTGGATGGCCTAGTCAGAGAGGATGGCAAGATTCCAGCAAGGCACTGCAGTGGCGGTAGAGACGCGAGAAGTCAAATGCTGGCTGGACACACCATGAAGGCAGGACGAACAAGATTTCTTCATAAACTGAACATGGGGAAAGAAAGAAGGGTGACTCCAACATTTCTCACTGGGGAAGATGGAAAGATAGTGCTGCCATCAATCAAGAGAGATGGAGAAGGCTAGGGGCAGACTGGGAGGAAAGAAAAGCAGGTGGATGTTTGAGGCACTCAAGTTAAGATGTTGAGAAGGCAACTTTTACATAAATCTAGTTTACATGAGAGGTCTGTGCTAGAGACAGAAATCTGAAACTGTCAGCACACAGATGGCATTTAAAGCCATAGGACACCATGAGCTCACCAAGGGAGGGAATATAGATAAAGACAAAATCATCAGAGGGAACCAACAAAGGAAGCACAGGGGAATGAACAAATAGTGAGGTGGGGGAAAAACATGTGGAACCCCAGAAGTGAAAAAAACATTAAAAAAGCCTAAGTGTCTCAAAAGCTACAGATGGGTAAAACCAGATGGAGACCACTGGTGACCTGGACAGCATTCTCTGTGGGGTCAGAGATACAGGATTAGCAACTCTTTGGAGAAGTTTTGCTGCAAAAAGAAGCACAAAATAATAAAAAATTAAGGTGATAGATGATGAGTTAAATGAGATAAAAAATTTTGTTAAAATTTCTTTGGTTTATTTAAGGTGAGAAAAATATTTGCATGCTAATGACCTGTTCAGTATTCATTTGCTCTTGCACGTCTATATGCTGGTGGTAAAAAAATGTATGAGAGAAAGGATAGGATTCTTGGAATTTTAATGTTTGAGCGAGAGACAGAGCATGAGTAGGGGAGGGGCAGAGAGAGAGGGAGACAGATTCCGAAGCAGGTTCCAGGCTCCGAGCTGTCAGCACAGAGCCCGACGTGGAGCTCGAACCCACAAATCATGAGATCATGACCTGAGCAGAAGTCGGACGCTCAATCGGCTGAGCCACCCAGGCGCCCCCGGATTCTTGGAACTTGAATCCTCGCTAGCTTAACAAAACCAGCTCTAGTTCACGGGGAAGTGGACAGGTTTTACACAGATATAGGACAAGGTTTTGAACTGTAACAGGCCAGAAGACCAACTATAAAATTTAAATGGTGGTGTGAGTATGCAGTGGTGTGAAATTTCTCTTTAAAACAAGTCATTCTATCATCTGCCCCTGCTACAAACTTGATCACAAGATCCTCTTCCTTCATTATGGAAAAAATAAGACCGCGTCTTCCTTTTGATATTAGTGCTAATGAGATTTTAAAAGTTTCTATACACTGAGGAGACCCTGAAAAACTCTGGTTAAATACAGGTATTATACCTATAAGGTAGGTGCCAGGTAGTCAGGTCTTTAAGACAAAGGAATTAAAAGGATGGAGAAGAGGAAGAATCAAGGCAAGGAAGCTAAGAAAAGCTTTCCAGATGACTGCTAAGTCCCTTCACCAAGTACAAGGCAAAAGGGACATTTGTAGGGTCAATCGAGATAGCACCTGCCTACTGGCACCCCATTAATAGTCGGGAAACTTTCAAATATATTAGACTTCCCCAAACCAGGAAGAAATACATAAGTATAAAGTATTATTTACAGTGAAGTAATAAAAAGCTTAAAGAATTCAAGAGATACTATAATTTCAGTATAAAATGATAAATTACATGCTAACACTGGGTTAAGATCTCTCTTAGCACTAACTATTCTTTGTGTTCTCGACGTGTTTCCTCCCGTCCCATCATCGAAACCTACCCTTTCTTTAAAGTAAAACTACACAACGGTTGTCTAATTAAAAACCAAGATGATCAATATTTCAGAATGTAAAAAGCCAGTAGCACCATAAAGACCAAAGGATTACTATCAGAATTCTGAAAAAATTAGCTTCCAGTTTCTATATACTGAAAAAGTTTTCTATTACTCACTTTTAACCCAGCTGCATACCCGACCGGCTGTGGGGCAATATTGGACTGTCCAGCTTCCCCTATCACCACAGCTAAGCCAAAGACCTCCTGGAAGGCATCTCGGACGGCGGCAACTTTCACTTCTTTATTCGAGGTCACTACGATATCCAGTTCACCTCCAGATTCTACCAAGACAAGAAAAAAATTTCAACTTCAGATTAATGGAATTGTCCTAATTATTGTCATATGCCAACATTACATAATTATTACTAAGCTCACAAAATAATGCAAGACACAGATTATCAACTTCTTTATAGGCTGAGGAAGCTAAGACTGATAAGACCTTGCCAACAGTAACATAACAATTTTGCGATGATGTCAGGATGCAAACCTACGTCTCTCACACTCCGAAATCCTCTTTCACTACACCATCTGCTCTATCAGACACACTTTCACCCTCTAATCTAACAGCATCTTATTCCAAGTGTTTGGACGCAAACTACCAACTTTTCCTGACTTTTAAAAATGAGCATTTAATGCATTACCTGAGAGAGTCTAATCTGCAGGCGGGAGATACTGCATACCTTCTCAATGTTCTGAGCATCTCATCTGCCACAAATAGAGCACAACAGTTGTTTTCCTATGAAATGCTGTTCCAGGGTATATTAGTAGATCCCCTTAAAACAGCCATTTTGTGATCAAACAAGCTTGAGAGATGCTCTACACATTTCTCTCTTAGAAATCCACAGGGAGGGGCGCCTGGGTGGCTCAGTCGGTTGAGCGACTGACTTCAGCTCAGGTCATGATCTCACGGTTTGTGAGTTCAAGCCCCGCGTCGGGCTCTGTGCTGCCAGCTAAGTGCCTGGAGCCTGCTTCTGATGCTGTCTCTCCCTCTCTCTTTGACCCTCCCCCACTCATGCTCTGTCTCTCTCTGCCTCAGAAATAAACATTAAAAAAAAAATTTTTTTTTAAAGAAATCCACAGGGAACATTAAGAGTCTCAGAAAACCAACAGTTAAAATTCATGGCTTTAACCCAGTACTTTCCATACTTTCCATCTGTTCATGGACTACTTATTTAGCGTCTAATGACAGCTCCTACAAGGTCTTCCAGAGATGTCAATTTGGGAAATAATGTTTTAACAGCTATGAAAAAAGTTTAATTTTCTATTATGTTGCTCTATTAATTTCACAAGATTTCATTTTCTGGTAAGATTACACTTTGGATAAAACACATTGCCATTTTTAAGACTGCAAATCACAATGGTTTTCCTGCTTTCAGTTAACAAAGACACACACCTGTTATGCGTAAACTTCTGATACCATGAGGATGATGGAGTTCCAAGTCCTTCAACTAACCGAGCGATCACAGAAATTAAATACGTGGCTTGTGGAACCCAAGTTACACATTTAGGGTATGTTACAGAAAATGAAAATGAAGGCTGTTATTGACAATAAGGAATGTGTCAGAGTTGTAAAAAAATTCTGCACTCAACAAGGGCTGCCATGAAACGTACTTTTTATCTAGAAAAGTTTACATGGTGAGTCAACTTTTTTATCCTACGTCTCCATCATTAGAAGAAAAAAACAGCATATGCCATAAATAAATGGGTTATCTAGCTATAAATTGTACATCTATTATTGTCCTAATATGCAAGCATATAAGGAAATGGAAGTACCAACACATATAAAACTTGAAATCTAAAAAGGCAAAGAGCAATATGAAATAAAAATTCTGAAACAGTTTTAATACATCACTTCTAAAAACGGTGTTCCATTTACACAGGGTAATTTGATAAATACACCTAATTATTTTTTTAAAACCCCAATCTAACATTTTGTGACATACTGAGTTCAAAGACCTATTTCTAAGCACTGCATACTTTGCCACCTGGCGTTAATGGCTGTCACGAATCAAATACAAAGATCAAGAAAGCGGTTTGTATTGTAAAATATTTTGCCCCAGAGACAATGTTATGGTATGCCCTAATAAACATCTTGTGGAACAGCTGAAAATATTTTCAAAACATCTGGGCTTTTTATCATGAATCTTTCTTCCTATTTAATAGGATGATCCACAGATCCCATCTGTACTAGAGTTTCTTAAGTTACTAAAACCTAAAAGCATTGAGTCTCATAGGAGAGAACAAATACACTTTTTTTCCTAACTTTTTCTCCATGTGGCACCTATCTCTTGACTCTAGCTGAGTACCATTCGAATAAACTTCAGCTCAAAAGGCTTCTCAGCCTTTTTTTGATGAGCAGTGCCACCTTTAATAACGACGAGGAAAGTAATTTTAAGAATTCAGGAAGCTAAATTGTGTTAAAATCCATTTCTAATACTCTTGTGCCTTCTTGATACAAATGAAACTGTAATGATTTCTAGAATATTTCCGTAAATTTTTTTTTTTGAATTTTGTTAGAATGGTCTTGCTTTCACCGTCACTAAAAAGTTGGCTTTTTCACATCAGTTTTACTGCTTTTTATAGTTAACTGATTAAGACTATATATTACGTTACGATATTTGCTGGGAGACAATTTATTTGATATTTTCCCCTGCAACCCGACCCCTTTCGTTTTCTGCCTTTTTCATGATGCCACGCAGACCACTGGCCTGAAAAAAAGCCCAGGATGTGAGTCCTGACTTGATTAGCTTTGTCACCTCAGGGCAGTCAATGAGCTTGTTTTTTCACGGAAAAACATTTGCCACCTCAGGGGGCTTGTTGTTATGGTAAAATAACTGCTTTCACAGTCTAACACAGTACCTGTTAAAATAGCAAGAGCTTCAAAGATACTAACTGCTTTCCTTCCCTCATTCAAAACATGAGCTTGTGAAGAATATATATGATGCATTAATTATGTCAAACTTGATTATTATGAATACGTGAAATCAGTATCTATGACAGGGTCCAATTTCTAAATCCTCTGGCAGTTACAAACACAAAGAACAATTCAGCTGATTTAATACTTGCTTCAATTTTCTATTTCCAGAGAAGCAAGTGGCTAAGTGTAAAAACAAATTGAACATGGGTTCAATCTAGCTCCACCAAATTGTATACGACCTACGATAATAATCTCTCCTAACCGAGGTTCTTCATCTCCAACTTGAAGCAAATACTTACCCTGCAGAGGTCTTATGACAAGTACTGCCTGGCAGAGCAACCACTTAATAAAGGATACTCATTCCAATTAGGTCCTGTCCTTTGACATTTACTAGCCAACCACCAAATATCAAGACTCCTGAAAGCTACTAACTTTTCCCTTGCTACTCAAAATCTCTATTCAAGTACCTGGTGCATGGCTCTGGCTTTTAAGTTGTTATCTTTAATAGAATTACTAATAATTGGTCACTGATCCTGCTAACGATTATGCTTGTTCACATATTAGAACATGTACCTTCAAAATTAAACAGCATGGAACATGTATGTCTATGTCATCTGTCTGGAGAATTCTTGGTAATGGGGATTCAAAGGTGGTTAAAATAACTTCCCCAACAGACCTGGTAATCAGACATTATTAGTAAATAGATCAACTCCCTCTAAAAATATTCCCAGGGTAAGCACAATCACTTAATTAAAACAGATGAAGTGGAGAATTATCAAAACCAAATATAAACAAAGCATCATTTCAAACGTCAACAGTGAATAAAATACAATTCGCACAAAATACCAACCACATTTACAATTAAAATACACTAACTGCGATTAAACTATACTATACGAATTCATATGGGTTTTACTCCTCCCAAAGTTGATTCTGTGGAGTTTTCAAAATGTATCTGTGACTAAGAAAAAGTTAAGATTGCCAACGCTAAGACTTATAATCAAGAACATAAGATCTCCAATGATTACAAGACTATGGGTCACAGTGAGTGGCTGACAAAGGCATATACTTTAAAACCATACGGCAGACGCAGCTCTATCTTAAGTACATACTGATATACGGAGCCATGCCAGGGTCCAACGTCGTAATCATACTTTCTACCGAATGTTTTGTTTTGTCAAGCACAGATTTCACCATGGGATTTCCGGCCACACCCTGCACAAGACAAAGTAATATATAAATGCCCATTCTAACTACAGAACACCTGACGGTGGAAGAAAACTTTTTTGAAGTTTCTGATACATGGTAGACCTGTGATTTTGTAAAATGTAAGAAAAACATGGTTATAGCAATGTCAAATTGCTGTTAAGATTTCAAAATGCTTACCCTCAATTTCTCTTCTTATCGCAGACCCACAGCAGTCTACAGACCACACTGGCCTGTATATCCACATGTGTATGTATTCATTTTGTGGATGTATATATTCATACGTATTCATTTGAGACACACACACACACGATCATTTCTCTGTATGTACATATTCTTATTGCATTTCATTTCCACTTATTTATATGAAAGACTATGCAAAACTTATCCATTAAGGTCCCAAATAAAAACTGTAATGAGATGTCTCCATAAACTCATACTTGATTCCCTAACCAAAAAATAAAAATAGTAATGTTTCTCACCCTTATTCCCCACAAGTTACCTATTAATATGTATTACTCCGCTATGTTCTACTAACGTTTCTTTTTTCCTGCTTCTTGTTTGTTGCGTTCATCCCCAAATTCTCTCTTTTAACCCAGACCCATTCCTCTGAATTCTTACAACCACACCATTAAGCAGAAGGAACTAGGTCTGAGTATTCCCTTCTTATGCTATACTTCTCCCGTGGTAAGAGACTTCTAGGAAGAAGTGCCTCCTGAGATGGCATCTGACTAGCAGGCTTTTCCAATCTACCACTGAACTAACTGGAATCAGAAAAAAGTTGAGTTCATAACACATGCTATTAACAAAGGAAACTAGTAGTAATCCCTATATAAGGAAAAACCTTTAGAAAAATACCATCCCTGTGTAACATAAAGCTCAAATGTAGTAAATAAGTTAGCTACTTAGCAATTTAAAAATATGTTTAATATATAATTAAATTGTAGCCAAACTCTCCGCAGAATACTGGGAGAAACTCTGTCAGAGTGATTCCAAAATTCATTAAGAGAAATAAATGCAGAAGACTAGTAAAAAAAAATTCTTAAGAGAAACCTGCAAACTTATAAAATTAAATACTGATAAATCACTGCAAAAGCAGGCACTTGGAAATGACCTTTCTATCTTACTCATCAATGAATATTCCTAATCTCCCTGAGCACAGAATCAACTTTCAATAAATAATAGTATAATAATAAACAGAGTTAATAATAATCGAAATAGTGAGGTACTATTGCAGGGGCAGGCCAAACAGTGGAAGAGAAACAAGTCCAGAAAATGACATTAACACACAGTTGCGTAATTAAAATAAAGATGACTATCAAAACACTGGGATACGATGTGGCCAGAGTCGAGTAAGTGGTCAGAAAAAAATTAAGTCTGACTTCTACTTCATGTAATAAAGTATCAGCAACAATAAACTGGTGGGTATAAAAAAAATGAAACCATAAAAGAATTAGAAGAAATCACAGAAAAACATTCATGATATATCGTGTTGGTAAAAGGTCATTTTTAACATTAAAAAATTAAAAAAAACATAACACTGATATGAAGAACTTCTGCAAATTTAGATTTTGTGTCAAAAAAGGATAATATAATTTAAATGTATGATAAAAATAGAGAAAACTGCAACATACGATGGCATATAATAAAACATTCTTACTACATTAGGAGCTCTTATGAATTTTTGTTCAGAGACGAAAAATCATCCCAATTCAAAAATGGGCAAAGAAAAGGACTAGAGACTTAAGAAAAAAAAATACGATGGCAAAAAAAAATCACATGAAAAAAATGTTCAAATCTGGTAACGAAGAAATGCAAATTAAAACAAGGTATGTGTTTTGTTTATCAAATCAGAAAAAGTTGTATTTCAAATTCATAATCAGTGCTGACAAATGAAAAATGCTGGGACAGTCAGACATTCACTCTGTTCACGCTGACATTCATCAGAAATTAACCTCAACAAAACAGAGATGAGCACAAATATCTGCCTACAAGCATGCTCATCACAGCTGTATTATAAGAATTACAATTGAGAATACTAAAGTCCATTAGCAAAATATGGGAAATAAACGCCACGGCATGAAGGGCAAAGCAGCCATAAAGAAAATTTCTGAAGAATGTTTATCGCTTGGAAGATGGTCCTGATATGTGCTACATAAGGACAAACGAGACACAAAATAGTGTCCACGTGTCACTACCCCATTTTGACTTTAATTTTAGAAAAGATCTACACAGATAAGCACATAAAAAAGATGGAGAGAAACTATAAAAACTGGTCATAAGACTAAAAAGAATTTTTACTTTTCCTTATATCATTTTGTTCTTTAAAAATTATTCTAATGGCCATCTAATAATTTTAGAATTAAAAAGTTCAGCCTAGTTTTTACACTAAATACCCCTTACCTTAATAAAACCCCAGAGTCCGCCAGCAGATGCTTCATCCTGACCTCTACCAACTCTGGGATCTTCTTGTTCCTCTGGAAAAGTAATGGCTGATGTGGTTCCAGGTCCCTGTGCCAGAGATGACAAACTGGCTTGCTGAGTAATGGGAGTCGGCAAAATACCTAGTAAATGGTAAAAATTTCTAATATGTGTAATTTATTTCATAAACTATTTCCTGTAAAAAGATGTATGAGATGAGTAGCTCAAAACAGCTTCAATAATGTGAATATATACTCAGGCATTTCTTTTTTTTTTTAATTTTTTTAATGTTTATTTATTTTTGAGAGAGACAGAATGAGCCAGGGAGGGGCAGAGACAGAAGGGGGGTAGGGGGACAGAGGATGGGAAGCAGGTTCTGCAGTCAGCATGGAGACTGAGGTGGGGCTTGAACTCACAAACCGCGAGATCATAACCTGAGCCGAAGTCTGACGCTTAACGAATTGAGCCACCAAGGCACCCCTATACTCAGGCATTTCAGGACTGAGTTATGTACTCCAAGAATCACCTAAATCTTTATAAAATACAAATGAAACAAGATTCCAAAGAACAAATTTCCTTCCCTTTCTGTAGACATTTTTATGAAGTGTCCCGAAAATGGACCAAATGTATATCAAAAAGTACTTCCTATTGGTCCTATTTAGCACTTAGATGTGGGCAGCTATAATTCCAATCCCTTTAATGCATAAAATTAATTGACGTGAGCACCCAAGCCTATCATATAAAAGAATATGACAATAAGTACGTATTCCATGTGCTCTACTTGAACTCAAAATAGAAAATTCACACATTCATGGACTAAGTATTATACTGTACTAAAAATTCTGTTTTTAAAGGTAGATAAGCAGAAACCTTGGTAATAAACATCACAAAAAAAGTAGCTTCTTTTTGTAAAAGGAGAAGTAACAGGCAGAAGATGACAAGGCTGAAGTTTGGATACTGGTTTTCAAAAACCATTCAGGGAAGACAAAAAAGTAGGCATAACCAACTTAGAAAAGGAAAATGGCCCAACACCACAAACTTAAGGTATACATGAGCTTTTATTTGGTTCTAAATTTTTACCTGGCTAATTAAAACTATTTCCTGAACCATTCTGCCCATATAACCTTTCATGTAAAGCTTTAAGAAACTCTAGAATTTCACCCTGGTATTTCTCTGTAGGAGAAACTGCACTTCGTATACTAAACATGTACATTTTACAACATATTAACTTTAGCATTTACTAAGTTAACAACAGCTTTATTTCGATAGTTTAAATGTCAATGGGGCACCTGGGTGGCTCAGTTAGTTGGGCATCCGACTTCAGCTCAGGTCATGATCTCATGGTTCGTGGGTTAGAGCCCTGAGTCTAGCTCTGTGCTGGTGGCTAGGAGCCTGGGGCCTGCTTCAGATTCTGTGTCTCCCCCTCTCTCTGTCCCTCCCCGCTCATGCTCCGTGTCTCTCTCAAAGATAAATAAACATTAAAAAAAATTTTTTAAAGAAAAAAAAAAGTCAAAACATGAGAACATTCCAGAGCTTAAAGAAAGGAGCTAAAAATAATGCAGCAAGAAACAACAAAGTTAAAAAAAAAAAATAATACAGAGACAGTGCTGAGGCGAAAGTGAAATGGTACAACTGCTTTGGAAAAGTCTAGCATTTTCTCAAAGCCAGCAATTCCGTGCCTAGGTATATACCCAAGAGACATGAAAACATGTCCTCATGAAAACTTGTACACCAATGTTCATAAAAGCAGTATGCATAACACCAAAAAGTAGAAACAAAACAAAGTTCATCAACTGATGAAATAAAACGTGGAAGGAATATCCATACGACAAACAACAGAGTACAGAAACATGCTACATATGCTAAGTGAAAGAATCCTGTCACAAAAGCCACACACTGCATGATTCTATTTATATGAAATGTCCAAAATAGGCAAATTCGTAGAGGCAGAAGGCAGATGAATGCTTCCTTCGGGCTGTGAACGTTGGGAGCAAGTCAGGAGTGACTGCTAAGAGCAATGGGGCTTCTTTTCGGGGGGGCAGGGGGGACGGTGTGATTAAAAGGTTCTAAAACGGATGATGGCGATGGTTGCAGGACTCTGTAAATTACAAACTGACAACCACTGAATTGTATATTTTAAAGGGGTGAATTATATGGTATGTAAGTTATTTCTCAATAGAACAGTTATTAAAAAACAGCAACCACATACTTAAACATTACCTACAGCCATTTAATTCAAAGTATCAGTAAGAGAGGATTACCTGTGACGGGAGGTGCAGAGAACGACGGCATCAGGGGTGTCTGAGGAGCTCTTCCCGCATGTCCCCTTGTAATGTCATAAGCCGCCCCAACAGAAAACCCCGATGTGGGAGGACCAGAAGAGGGTGCAGGTAAGAGCGTGTTTGGGGCAGAAGATGGAGGAGGAAAGTGGGACAGAGCAGGGCTAGTGAAGGCGGCAGCAGGTGCTGGCGAACCCGGAGGTGGCACGGAGGCAGCAAGCGCTGGGACAGAAGGGACGGGTGAAGGCGGCACCAAGGGTGCAGAGGGCCTCACGGGAGGGAGGGGCGGCTGGGGGGTGGCATACACGTGCGGCGGCAAGGGTTGTATGGAGGACACATTTGGAGAAGAAAAGGAACCGCTTGCAGCTAAAAAAACAGGTGGGGAGGGGAAAAAAAACAGAAGACTGAAAATGCTTTCGCTTGATTTTCAAAGTATCTTATCACATTTTTCTTGCAAATCTAACACATTAACAAGCAAACCATAACTGAGTATTTAAAATGTACAATTTGAATTACACAACAAATATGACTGAGTGCAAATGACTTTCAACTCCCTTAAGTAAAAGAGGCAGCCGTATATAATTAAGTTACAGTCCCATTCATAAGCAGATCTTTGTGTTTTCATTCATTTTGGATGTATTTTTAATAAAATAGAGCTGTTTTTCACCACTGCTAACTTCAGCATAAAAACCTACATACTGGCTGAAAAATTTTGGCCAGAAAGTTAATCATCAGACCCACAGAACATGAGACAAAACCAATACGTGCTTCTTAGGATATTTTTATAAGAAGATGATTTAATATAGTCAGTATAAATACAAAGAACAAAACTTGACCCAAAGCAAAACATAACGTTTTCTACCTGCGGGCTTAAATAAGAAAGGCTCCTTCCTTTCATCCTGGCAAAGATCACAAGAGTTGTAAATATGTAGTCTTCTAATTGACTCTGAGAAAAGTTAAGTGTCTTCACCGCCCTCCAGACACACTAGACACTCGACAGCTTCATGTACCTGAAGGAAGGGGGGTTGAAGACACAGCAGCCGCGGCTGGTCCTGCAGGATGTGGAGGAGGAGTCCCTGGCGGGGTGGTCTCTATTCCGCTCTCTTCCATCATTTTTCTTCAGTTATGGTTTACTGTAAAGATATAAAATTGTAATAAATATTACACGGTAATCAAGTGTACTTCTAGAGAATAATTTTAGAAAATAATCAAGAGACAGAGATCTGTCTTTGCTATTTATAATGCCATTTATTTCTACATAAAGGATCTGTCAAAATTCCTAGGAAAACAGTCTGTGCTTATGTTTAATATACACATAATATGGGACATTTTCATATACTATACTTTGTAATTAGGAAATAATTTGATGTTAACTAATTACCCCAAAACTTCAAACAGTAAATTACTAATTTTCTATCACATGAATGCACATAAGTCTTATATCTAGATTCCAGTCACTGTTACATTTAAATTAAAAATGAATTTTTTAAGCATTAAGTATTACTCAGTATTTTTTGAGGGGGAGGGGACAGAATCTTAAACAGGCTCACACCTAGCCTGGAGCCCGACACAGGGCTCATTCCCACTACCCTGAGATCATGACCTGAGCTGAAATCGAGAGTTGGACACTTAACCGACTGAGCCACCCAGGTGCTCCTATTATTAAATATTCTTAACATTACTTCTCTCCCCATAGCGTATTATGTGGGCTACTTCTGTTAACATGAAAATAAAACTGAAATGTGCTCCATTCCCAGTATCTCTAGTTCACATCTTAAGTCATCTTTAGTAACTGTGAAATGATATGTTTCATGTACTGGAAACATTAACTTCGGCAAAAATGTTATACAGTAACTAAAGAGCAGGTCTGGGGCGCCTGGGTGACTCAGGCAGTTAGGCTGTCCGGCTTCGGCTCATGTCATGATCTCACGGCTTATGAGTTTGAGCCCCGCATCGGGTTCTGTGCTGACAGCTCAGAGCCTGGAGCCTCTTCAGGTTCTGTGTCTTTCTCTCTCTCTCTCTCTGCCCCTCCCCTGCTCACACTCTGTCTCTGTCTCTCAAAAATAAACATTAAAAAAAAATTTTTTTTTAAAAAAGAGCAGGTCCTAAGACAATAATGAAGTACAAAATATGGGAAAACTTCCTTAAAAATGACAAATTTCCAAGCTTGTCTCAAATATAAAATCAAAACTTCCAAATAAAACTTCAGAATTTGCTTTCGATGTTTTTATTCATTTAACAAATATTCAGTGAAAGTCAACTGTTTGCCAAGCACTGTACTGGTGCCTGTGGACATACAATGTATGCAGAAACAAACAGGATACATACAGTCCAGTAGGAGAGACAATAAAATAATACCACCCATGTGCAATGAACTGAATTATGTGCTCCATGGGTAAGAACACAGTCTTGAGAGGAATAGGATTCTGAGTTGAAAGGGAGGAAAGACAATCACATATAAGCAGAGATCTGAAAGATATATAGAATTAAGCAAGGGAAAAGAACTAAGTAAGGAGAGGAGATTCCAGACAAAGTGAAAATACAGGAGGTAAACAAGCCCTGTAAAGGCGGGGGACAAGACAAGTTCAAGAAAATCCATGTGCATCGAACAGAAAAGAAGAATGAAGACTGGAGACACAGGCAACAGCCCACACTGGGGTGAACCTTATACACCAGGTCAAGGAGTTGGGGTTTTTAAGAACAGAAAATCATCGTACAGCATTCAAGCTGGAGATGAAATCTGTCTTCTGTTTTAACTTTTTAAAAGAAGTTTTAGAGGCACCTGGGTGGCTCCAGAGGTTAATCGGCGACTTCGGCTCAGGTCAGGACCACAAGGCTTGTGGGTTAGAGCCCCACACTGGGCTCTGTGGTCACAGCTCAGAGCCTGGATCTGCTTTGAATTCTGTGTCTCCCTCTCTCTCTCTCAAAAATAAATAAGCCTTAAAAATTTTTTTTTAATTAGATTCAAAGAAAGATGCAAAATAGACCAGAGTTCTTGGACTACCCTACACTCAGCTTCTCCAGCAACAGCATCCTACCTAACTGCGGTACAGTGATTAAACCCAGAAAATTAACATTGGTTCAATACTAGTAACTACAGATTTTATTTGCATTTTCACCTGTGTGTATGTTTGTGTGTGTAGTTCTATGAAGTTTCATCATCTGCAAAGACTCATGTAACCAACACACAATCAGGTTACAGAACTGTTCTATTACCCTAAAGAAACTCCCTCAGAGTGTTCCTTTGTCGCATCCGCCCACTAACCATAAGCCGTGGCAACCGACTGTTCTCTATCATTTTCTCATTTCATGAAATGTTACCTAAATAGAATCATACAGCATACGTTTTGAGATCAGCCTTTTTTTTTTTTTTTCTCAGCATAATGCTCCGGAGATCCATCCAAGTTGTTGGCTCTATCACTAGGTAGGTTTTTTTAACTGCTGAACAGTATTCCATTTTATAGATGTGCCACAGTTTAGCTACTGGTCTGCTGAAGGATGTATTTAAAGCTAATTCCAGCTTTTGCCAATTCATATTTGTGTCCTAAGTATGAAAACATTCCTTTGACCACAGTATGCAGACAGGGACACGGGACAGTCAGAGTAAATGCAGAGAGACTATTAAGAAGGATAGAAGTGGTTCATATAAAACTGGTAACACTCTAAGACAAGTGGCTCTCACGTGCAGGAGGAAAAGAGGATAATCCTGCCTCTCACGGTCATTTGCCAACGTCTGAAGACCTTTGTGGTTGTCAGAACTAGAGGGACTACTATCATCTAGTAGGTCAAGGCTAGAGATACCACTAAAGATCCTACAATGCACAAGACAGCCCTCACAAGAAAGAATTATCCAGCCCCAAATAGCAAAAGTGCCAAAGGTGAGAAGCTCTGGCCTAGACACATGTGATGATACGGGGGAGAGAGGAGAGTAGGTCGACTGAAGAACTGGATATGGGGCAGTGGCAGGAAGAGGCATGACTTGCACAACTGCATAGATGTCTACACCATTCACGAAGACAGGGATACAGGAAGAGGTCAAGGTATTTGTATGACGTCTTCTTTCTTGGGAAGGGGGCATTGTGCAGTGTTTAATACTGGACACGTCGAGTTTCAGCTCCTTGAAACACCCAAATAGAGACATGTGACTTGCTCTGAGGTTTCAAAGTAAGTGGGGGTGGGGATGTCTTCAGTTTACTGATAGCCTCTAAAGTCACGTTCTGGAATGAGGTTACCTAAGAGAATACCATGAAAAAAGAAGATGACCCCATCAGTCCTTGAAAAATAGTCTGGCAGAAAGAAGATGAGCTTACTGAGAAGAGGGAGACAACCAAAAAGAAGAAAACCAAGAGACCATAGTGTCCAAAAGCTAAAGAAGAGTTTCAAGGTGGGAACAGGCAGCAATATCAAATGCTGTGGAAATGCCAAATACGATGACTGATGTCTGAAAAATTCAATGGCTTGCCCAAACGAAGATATGAACACAGTGACAGCGATTTCCATGCAGAGTGGGGCTAGAAGGCAATTTCAACCACTATGAGTAGAAGGTGAGGCAGAAATACACACTTTCAAAAAGTATGGTTGTGAACCTACAGGAAACATCTATGTCATTAAGAAGGAATGGGGATCAGGGAGGCAAAATCCTTTCATTCAGTACCCATACACCTAAGGGCAATAACCTTGAACACAAATGGCCTTGTGGGGACTTTATCACTCCCTGCGAAAGCTACCTCTTTTCATCTCCCCATTTTCTGTTGGTCATTCAGTCTCCTCCCACAGGTGCTGCCAAATCCTTACACTGGCTGGTGGAAGTCAGGTTTAAAGATAATCTTGATCCATAACACTAACGAATGTGTTGGCAAAATGACCTGTGCAATGAAAACAATCTATAACCTGCAATAAAAGGTCAATTTTTTTCAGTCTTTAAAAGATACCCTATTTAAGAAACAGCTTAATGACAATACTGGATAAATGTTGTGTGCATAAACATGAACCCTTCTAAAGAAAAGCTATCGTGACAACAGTGAAATGTCAAAGTTGATAAAGGTTTTAGTGCAGAAGTCTCAGCGTAAGAAGTATTATTAATGTATTAACATTAAAGAAAGTGATGAAAATGGCTTAGAAAAATTGAGCCCTCAGGCTTTGGCCAGACCCTCCTCTTCCAATTTGCTTCCCATCAGAGTTTTCTGTTAAAAAGTGAATGCCTACTTATTAGAATACAATAAAAGAAATGGAATAATGCAGCTTTGATGATAAAAGCACTAAAAGCCATTATTGATGTTTTACTAGCGCAAAAAACGGTCTCCACTAACAGACAAAACAGTGCCAAAGCAGGATGTGAGTTTTGCCTTTGCATTCTCAGTTGTGAGGCCAAAAAAAACTTCCATAAACGTTAAGTGAATGAAATAACGGCCCTACAGGAGAAAGGCTGGAATGCCAAAATGTGTCACTTTCGCGGGAATGTACACGGTGCCTCTCAAAGTACCTACTTTGAAATGCAGAAATGGATATATCGCTCGGCCAATCTAGAAGAGGAGCTTTCCTGCAAACTTGCCTAAAGACTTGGCTCCAGGGAGGAACAAAGAGACAGCAGAAGGCAAACATCCTCTGGAAAGGGGCTCGGGCCGACTGGAGAAACCTAGGGAAAACAAGCTACTTCCCAAGGGCGGGCCCGGGGTGTGCACCCCAGAGCCGAGAGAAGGCCGAAGCTGCCGAAATCCTGTTCCTGGAGGCAGCGGCCTCCCCGCAGGCTCTGCCACGTCTCCAGGCTGGGCTGGGCCGGCCTAAGGTCAGCGGGCGCCTGCCGCCGGTCCCGCTCCCACATTCAGCGCTCTGGAAGGCGGAGCCAAACGGCCAGGGGCGCCAGTCTGGGTCGGCGCCCCGGAGCGCAGGGCCGGCACAAGACCCACACAACCCGCACTCACAGGGCTGAGCGCGGCAGGGACTGCTGGCCTGGGCGAAGCACGCTCGCACAGCTTACGCCCGGACTCGACGACAGCAGGGCTCCGACGCGACCCTAACCATCTCCCGGCGCCGGCCGGCCCGCCCACCCGGCAGGGACTGCGCCCGTAGGCGCCCGCATCCCATCCCCCCGCCCGCAAGCACCCCCGTCGCTG